TTTTGGCTGCAGTCTGTAGAACTTTGTGCATGCAACTTCCACCTGCAGAACACAACTTTGCACTTGTCCTTTTTGAATTTCATTAATTTCAGACCTTTTTCCACTTTTATAATGACATCATAAATCCTAATCCGATCCTCTAAAGCATCCACCACTCCATCAAACTTGGTATCATTTACAAATTTGCTGGGGGTGCATGCAGTCCCATCCTCCAGGTCTTTAACAAAAATATTAAATAGTACTGAACCCAAGACTGACCCCTTGATCCCTCCTCCCAATCATACACTTAGTCATTAATCTCTACTTTTTTAGCACAACAATCCAACCAGCTATGTAGTCGCATTACAGTACTTTAATTTAGACTAAATTTCCTTAGCTTACTAATGAAATCATCATGGGAGACAGTAGCAAAAGCAATCCTAAAGTTAAGGTGTCACTGGGTACCCAAACATTGTTTTTCAGATGCACTGCTCTATGGGCAGTCTGCCCAGCTCTTTCCTGCCATGCCTTCTTACACAGAATGCAGGAGGCTGCCCTGGTCTTATTACAATGACCACTGAGATTGTGGCCCTGGCCTTATAGGCCAATTGGATGGCTCCGTACCTCCCCTACACCAAGCTCTATGCCCCACAGATCACATCCTTACAGATGTTCTACCAATTGCAGATGTTCTAGCCTCTCTGGATCTCCTGAACCTTCAGCCACTCTCAGCCCCCTCCACGCCCTCAGACCTCTCAGCCTCTCCACACAGCCTCTTTCTGGGCTGCCAGACCCCTCAGTCTCCCTCTCGGCCCACCTCAGGTTACCAGACCCCTCAGTCTCTCCTCCAGCCCTTCTCTAGGCTCTCAGACCCCTCACTCAACACTCCCTGGGCTACCAGGCCCCTTATTCTCCCTCCTGGGTCCTCTCCAGGCTGCAAGCCCCTTTTGATCCCTTGTCCTGGACCCTTTTGGTTCTTTACTTTCCAGGCCGCTGTCCCCGTCCCTTGGATCTCTCTGGTCCTGCACCCCATTCCCAGCCCCTTGCTCAGCTTTTGGACCCCTGGGGTCCCACAATGCTCACTGGGCCTCACTATATTCCTCAGGCCCCTTGCTGGGTTTCACTATCCAGGCTCTTGGACCCATCTGGTCCTACACTCTATTCCCCAGTCGCTTGCTGGGCAGCCAGAACCACATGGTCCTGGTCTTCCCTGGCCAAGTGCTTTTCTGTCAGGGTGTGCTTCCCTAGTCCTCCCCCTCAATGGGGTAACGCACAAGGCAGTGTCAGCTAAGGCTTTCTGGTGCCCCATCCTTGCCTTTCACTAGAGTAGTACATGCATGACATTTCATGGAAGATACCCTGCCACACCAACCAGCCCCAGTTGGGTGAAGTTTTTGGTCTTACCCAGGACTGGTCTTCAGGCCTACCTGATCTTATATATCCCTCTCTGCCCCTCCCCCACAATGTTCTACACCCGTCCCGGGCTGCTAACCACTGGGGCCCCTGGCTCCATCTCCCAGCCAAGTCCTCCATCTCTGGCCCCCAACTCATTCTCTGACCCTTTTCCTTGATCCCTCCTCCTCCAATGACCTAGCACTACCCATAGTCATCTCAGGCTGCACACCCCTTGACCCCTTCCTCTTAGCTGCAGCCAGAAAAGGACCTTTGGCCTCTCTTAGACCACAGCAGAGACTACCAGAGCCAAGAGAGCCTGGAGATCTCAACTGGCCTGAGACAGGGCCAGGGCCTTTTTCACCCTTTGGGCCCTCCTGCATCCTGTCCCCTGGCCCTGCACAGGCCAGTTGAGATTACCAGGGTCACTGCTCCAGCTGTCAGCCCTCTCATCTCTGTGGGTCCGCCCTCTTGGATCCCTCCATAGATCACTCTGTCTCTCTGGGCTTGCCCAGAGCCCTCCAGAGTTCTTCCCTAATGCAGCCCCTTCCTTCCCTGCACTCATCCAGATCCCTGAATAGGCCCCTGTACTCTGTCCCACACACTGGGTTCACTCAGACCCTTCACTAGGTCTCCCAAACACTCAGTCCCTCTCCCAGGACTGACCTGGCCTCTCAGTATGCCCCTTTGTACTCAGCCCCTCTCTCTCAAGACTCAACCAGCCTCACATAGGCTCCAGGCACTGAGCCCCATTCTCAGGGCTCTGGACCCTACCCTGGGTCCCCCAGGAACTTCCTCCATCCCCTTAGTTCCTACCCAAACCTTCCAATGTTATTCTCCTTGTTGGCATTCAGGAACAGCAGCCTTTCTGCTGGGTGATGTTCCTTTACCAGCTCCCAAAATGTTACTGCCAGCCCTACTGTCAGGGTCTGGGCTTATATCCTGTCTAAACCCAGCCATCCTTCAATCAGGTGACTCCCTTGATCAGACCTAGCCTCACCTGCCAGCCCCCTGGGTCAGCTGACTCTGCAATTAGCCCTGACCCCTCCTGCCAGAAGCTCAGCAGGCTGCCTGACCTGTTCAAGTGGCAGGCACATCAAGTGCCCTGCCACACAAGTTATATCATATAAAGCTCTTCACCCATTCACAAAGCCTGCCCACTCACACAGCCTATCAAGTCACCAAAAGTGATTCAAAATATCTTCACTTCAGCTATCCCAAAACCACTTAGGTAATGAATTCACTCAGCATCTATTTTTTAAAGCTCAAAGAGGCTTAGGCACCTAAATCTGGGACATTACCCTGCATTCAAAGATGTAACCCAGTATGAGCTGCTCCAGTTCCCCTGTAAAAGCTGTGTTACTGCTGCCATGATTGCACGAGTCAAAGGACCAAGAGATCAACCAGGAAAGGGGAAGTCTGACCATATCCTAGTGGTTAGAGCATTTATCTTAGACCAAGCAATCTGAGGTCCTTGCTCTCAGGACTATTTTCATTTTTATCCAAAGCTGTCTATTTTAATACATGAACAGACCTAGGAGCAGGGACCAGATATCAGGATTCTCCTCTCCTAGCTGAATCCTACTTCCTGGGTGAATCCTCTAAACACCATCAAAAGTGGACTACACTTTCATTAGATCCCAGTGAACAGGCACACCAAACAAACAGCCTTGAGTCAGGTACCAAAACTCAAGAGAGGCACAAGTCCAAACACTCCCCTATCCTTGCCTAAGGTCACATACAGAATTCAGTTTCTACTGGGAGAGTTGCTGCTCTCACAGAAGAAACTACAAGTGTACAGATATTCAAGATGTTTCTCCCAGAAGAAAAATGGTCACTCCACAAGAAAAATAACCCGGGAAGAACAAGGCTTAAATCACTCCCAGGAGAGTGAATGTCTGTACATGCTCCCTTCTGAGAGAAGCCAGAGCACAATCCTCCAGCATCCCAGAGTCCTTTGCTCTCCCATCCCCCAAAGGACAGTGTGTCACTCAGGCTAAACTCTTCTACTCAAATCAAGCAGGGAACAGAACATGAACCTTCACAATCCCCACATTCTGCTGCAGGGAGACACAAGCTAACCTTGAACAGTCTAAGTCAGCCAATCAGGGCTGCCCTGTGTACTGCTGCCATCTGTCTCCACAAAGACTGAAGGAGCCTGCAGAGCATACCAAGGTGTATGCACAGAAGCCCCCTGGCTGCACAGCATCAGCACAGACTTCAAGAATTCACTCCAAAATGAGCAGCTATTCCTCCCCCTAGAAAATAAAAGTCATTAAGTCTGGCTAATGTCCTAGAGACCCGACTCTCCTTCCATTCATTCCAGTGTAAATTATAAGTAACTTTACTTGAGTTAGTGCACTTACTGTGATTTAAAGCAAGTCTAAGCACAGAATCAGGTCCTTTGAGACTCAAAGCATTTTAAATTCACTCAAAGCATTTCACTAAAGTTAAGGTACAGACAGCAAAATCTAGGATTTTTCACTCCCTATTAGCAAGAAAAGATAATCAACCAAATAAATACTAACTAAACAATGCAAAGCAGTGGATCTTGTTAATTACCCAACAACAAAAGCAACATAAACCATCATAGTTATATTTTCTGTGGATTACTTAAATTTGCAACCTCTCATCCCTTCTATATTATTCAGGCCTGGTTTATATTAGATTTCATCTATCAATCTGGATACATTAAAGTAACTGCACAAGCACTAACCCTAAACATAAAAGCATTGCACAGGTATAAGAGTGAGTAGCACCAACACAGCTGGTCAATTTCAAACTGAAATAAGATGGATCAACATGAGATATGGTCTGACATTTGTAAAGTGTCACTGCATCATTGCCTCCTTCCCTTTCTCCCTGCTTACTCTTAAGCATCTTACTCTCACATGTAAAAATACTATTAGCTGCACGTTTTGTCAAGATTTACGTCTGTGCAAAGGGGACCCCTTGACCACATAAACTCACACTTCCTTTACACAGATATAAGAGACAAAACTAGTTGGAAGGCAGTGAAAGACCAGACAAAATGCAAAAGAATTACTAATCATGAAATACACCATCAAACTATATCCATACCCTGAGGCAGTGATTCTTAACCTTGTTAGACTTAAGCCATCTACTGGAAAATGCCAGGTCTTAAGCTTTCACTCATTTCTGAGTGCAAAAAATTCTTCTGTTGCAGAGAACTCATAAAGGCCACAACAGGTCAGAATGTTTGTGACACTATGGATTCCTATTTGAAATCTCTGGGTGTATCTTGTGAATCATGTGCAAGTGTTTGCACACCTAACACAGTGCTAATGTTGTGCAGCACCCTGGTTGAGCGTCATTGCCTTAAGGTATCTCTCTTCAATAACCTAAGACCACAGAGATTTGCTATCTTCGTTCTTAATCCCAAAACCTATTTAGCACAAATGTCATGTCAATACTTTATTAATTCCAGTTGCTTAGTTAGTTGATGTAGTGATGTTTTTTTAAAGGGAGAGTGTGAAAACACTGGGGTGAGGTTAACAACTATTAGTACAGCTCCAGTGATGGCCATTAACCTCTTAAAATAAAAAAAAGAAAGAATAAGCATTTATCTTAAAACTTCACTATGCCAAATGTACAGGTACAGTTCATACCTTTGAATCTTCATCGCTCACTCCCAGTTCTAATACAGCTTGAGGAGATTTCAGTTTCGCCTGGGCGGACTGAGCCATCTGAAGGTTAAGCTGCCATCCAACTGTCTCAAGCTATAAAACACAAGCTCAGGTTAGAATTAAATGCTGCAGAAGCACTGAGGAAGTGAACTATCAACATTTGGGGCTCGTCTGTGGCAATGAGTATAAGCATGCTTTACAAAAGGGCATTAGGATTCCCATATAATTTACTGCCCTATCAATGGCTTCTGAAACAAATCAGTTGAAAATGTCTTTAAATATTGTGTATTTACAGCACCTAAGCCCATCTCGAGGATGAAGAGCTAGTATGTTCGAGCAGATCTAAGTTCCCCTAACAATTACACTATTACTTGCATCAATTCCCAATCCTATTGAAACCAATTAATAAAACACAAAAACATCCAAAGGATAGACAGCCTGAGTTTTCCAAAGCTCATGATCATCACCTGAGGCTCCGTCTCACTTGTTTTATACTCAAATTCACAAAAACGGTCTTAGCAGAATACTTTCAGAATAATCCAAAAAGCAACATAACAGACCTTCTCTGTGTGCATGTTCCATCATACCAGCTGAAGTTCATGATAAAAGCTATTTTGTACTGCTTTTACTCCTAGTGTAACAGAATCCAAACAGCTCATTGTGCCAGCTACAGAATTTCTTCCACACACGCACTAAATATACTCTGTACAGCTTTTTATCCCAAGATCTAAATGATGTACAGACATTAGCAAATTAAGCAACACAATATTTCTGTGAATAAAACAGAATATTTGCCAGAGAACTAAAAGTTTCAGGTTTTTCTTACTGAAAAAAGAAGAAAAATAAAGAGAATTACTACTTGATGATGTATTTTATTTGTGTAATTTTCACCTGCTTCAAGTTAGAAGTATAACTGTATTACTTGGAATTTCTTTATATTTTGTTTGCAGAAGTATTTTAATTTGGTTATGCAGCTAAATATAGGAAGGACATATGAAAAGCAATGGATGCCCTGTTCTAACAGCCAGTGAGCTCAGATAAGAGTTCTCAATTCAAGGTAAAGACTGGCCTACCAATCCACTGACAGCAACAGAAAGATTTAAGAGAAAACCTCCAAATGATAGTGGGAAGTTATATCATGTATACTGAGTGTAGAGAAATCAGTGTAGAGGAATAATTTGCTAAAACTGGTACACCCTACCATTTTATATTTGTCACTTCACTCATGCTGATTCTTTACTGACTTATGAAAAATCAAAATAGGTCCCTCAATCCAAAATATGGGAGATCATGCCAAGAAGTCACACTGATTTAAGGGCAAGATAATATATTTAAAATGTGCTCTCAACATTTTGCGCAGTCCACTATAGCTATCTGAAGACTTCTTTAAATAAACAAAACAAAAAACAAACCCATAGGGCTTAACTAAACTAAGACAGGCTTAGTCCAGAATGTGCGTCTATCCACACCTGGTTTAACTAAATCAGATTTAAAAATGTATTAACAGCAACAAGTTACAATATAGACAAGCCCTGCAGCAACATCAGGGGTTTGTGAATGAAGTTTCCATGCATATTTTCTTTGAGCAAGAGCTCACAAGGTCCCAAACGCTGGCCAACAAAGACTTGGGCAAGAAACCTCATTAATAAAGATGGTTTTCCTTTTCCCAAGTAGTTATATTTCCAATTTTTTTAACACCCACATGTTTCTTGAGTAGAGACTGAACACTACTATAAGAATCCAGGATTTTTATTTTAGTTTCTTAGAAACAAAAGTATCATTAAAGTTCTGGTTTGAGCCTGCGTGTCTGTATTTCTGACAAGCAGACATTTACTTTAACACTGTTTTGTATTAGTTTGGAAACTTCAACTTAGCAAGTTCGCAAATTGCCCAGGATCAGAAAGTAAACTGTACCCAGCTGCAGAGACAATAACAATACCCACAGGCATGCTCACTTTCTGGCCTTTGTGCCACTAAACTATTCTCTGTAAGAGAACAAACGAACCAAAAACAGCAAACACATCCAAATTGATGGCTTTTACTTCACTCTTAATTCACACTTATCCATCACTACAGCAGAGATCTTGGATCAAATACACAACGTATGGTATAGCACAATGGTCTGAGTTCACAATGGAACAGCCACTCCTATTTTTTCCTTTAACTGGTTTACAGGCAGCCCTCAACTTACAACATTTCGAGTTACAACATTTCGCACTTAAGTTTATAAATTGACACCGTTTCAACTTTATGACATCAGTTTCGACTTTACAACACTTGATCTGATGTGACACCACGCCAGCAAACAAGTCTGCTGCATCGCTAATCTCCCTGGAGAACATCTGTCCAAACTTCCTTGGACACTGTCTTTAAGAAAGCAGACAAGACTCCAGAAAAACCTGCAGCCAAGACTCCTGAGAAGACTCTAGCCAAGAACCCTTCAAAAGTCCAACCAAGAGCCTTTCAAAAAGTCCAGAAAAGTCACCTCAAAGAAGTCCTTCCAAATCAATATGATTGCTATTTACACTATAAATACATTAATGTAGCTATATTACTCATCTATAATTGATCGAGTACAAAATTCTGGGGTACTTTTAGTGAAAGTAGGGTATTGGGCCTTGGTTCAGGAACCATTTCCCCATTTATAACATTGTTTCTTATGAGAAAATTGGTTCCGAGTTACAATGTTTCGACTTAAGATGTGGTTTTCAGGAACCAATTATGTTGTAAGTCCGAGGACTGCCTGTACATTAAAATATTGTCGTCATGCAGCTATATTAAAAATGATAATGACATATGGATCATACAAAAAACAAAGCAATGTTAATGTATCATATGCTTCCTGAGGCTTCAAAGAGGTTTGCCTATTTATTTTCCTGAAAGGGAGATGAAACCTTTATTTTGGCATAGTCATGTTTATTTAGATGATGCTCAAAATTGCAAAATACCAATTCACCTTTTGAGAGCAGTAACAAAGTTTCTGTACAAAATCTTTGAATTCTCCTCAGCCTGACAAAGGGCATTTGGACCTAAAAGCTCGCAAAGAAAGAAAAAAATTGCTACTATTTAGTTGGTCTATTAAAAGGTATTGCCTCTAACCAAAGAGTTTTGTCTCTCTTAGCCCAACATGGCTACAACATACATCCCTGAAAGTTTCTGTACAGCATTTACACCCAGGGCACAGTACTTGATAACAATGAAGTGATAAAAGATTTACAGTTAAGTTTTCAGGGGCTAAAGAGATATTATAATTATTTTAATTTCTGATGCAATATTTGCTATAATCAGACAGAAATGAAGAAATTATTTCCTAGTAGCCAAAACTGAACTGATTATATACTCCAAATTTCAAAGACCTCTTAAGAGGTACTGCTTAGAATAAAATGACAAGCAGTATAAAATGAATACACATTTTCAGTTACTGTAGACCACTGGTTAATATTTCCAAACAGCATTTATTTATAAATGTATATGGAACATGAAGAAAGGCTACAAGATAAATAATGTATTTTCAACTATATTACTCGTGGTAGTACTCCTCATGGTAGTACTAACACTCGTGTATTTAATTTTTAATTGATTGTTTAACAAACACACACCAGGAAGTACAAGTCAGAAAGTTAACAGGGTGGGGAAAAAATGGCAGACAGTATTAATGCAGCTAATAATTCGCATGTATAAAGCATTGCGATTGTTTGTTCCACAGCTACTATTGTGGACAACTCCAGGCAGCTATGAAAAGGTCAAGCTTGAAGGTACCTATGCAATTCCTTTTTTTTGGGAACATCTGCACCCAAAGGAGATGCAGTACATACCAGCAGGTATAAGAACAACCCATTATAGCCCTCCACCTTCCAATACAAACTGTTACCAACCAGAGGAAGGATCTGATATGCATATCAGAGTTGCTAACCTGCCCTAACACAAAATAAAGTTGACCCTTTATTTAGAGACCACAGAGGACATTGATAAATATAAATAAGCAGTACAATATCTATTTTACAGGTAAGGAAAACCTTATTTTCAATAAAAAAAAAATATCCCGATTTCTAGTCCAGCAACTTATCTATCGGAGTCTAAGGACACAGGATTTTTAATCGTGGGCTACTGCCTCCGACTGACATGGCTAGATAATCTGACATGACTATGGTAGACTTTTATATCAAACCCTATACTGAATATAATTCATTCCACATGGAGGATCTGTATGGGCCTTTGTACAACTTAAATGGCAGCAAATCCTATTTTCAGGGCTGAACCAATACACTTGTGAGAGTTCTCTATTCACAGTTGTGTAAGACACTAAATAATGTCCACAAAACTCAACAACAGTCTGGCCCATTAATGTTTTTCATGTTCTATATACGTCCAAGAGCTTATTTTCTCTGCTGTTTGTAAAAAATCAGTATGCATCACAAAAAACATTCTTGTCAAAGTCACTTGCTTGTCCACTAATTTAATGCAAGATAAACTGAGGAACGGTTGCATAAAAACCTCAAAAAATTGGAGAGGGTTGTTTTGCTTACGTTCTAGATTCAAAATGAACTTGACAAATAGAAAAAACTACGAATTTGAACAAACAATCTGTATTAAGCACATTTGGAAGCCCAGCCTGGTTAATAATACAGGCTGCATTAACCAAAGTCATCTTAGTGGAAATGTTAAATCTACACTGGAGAGCATGCACTACCTTCAGTGCGCAATTCCTAGAAGCTCATTATGATTTTTGGCAGGAAAGGCTGCTAAGCAGTCTGTTCTCTTAATGAACTCCCCTTGCTTTCAAGCAATAGGATCTTTTAGCCAACAGATTCCCTAACCTGCTCTCACTCAAGTCCCAGTTCCAGGAACTTTGCTCGTCCTTGTTTCACTGTCCAGAAAACCTTCTTTTCAATAAAAACGAAATTAGAAACAGAACAGATTAATGTGGAAATGTTCTATATGGTGTTGAATAATAAAGGTTACTCCTTTATATCATATGTAGATTAGATTTTATTTTTATTATATTTTTCAATTAGTTAACTAAGGAAAAGGAAATAAGAGCAAAATACTCCTTTAGTTCAGGAAATCCAGTACAAAATACAAATCTATGATTA